GGACTTCATAAAAATTAAGAACATTTGCATGTCAAAGGATATCAATAAAGCAAAAAGACAACCTACAAAATGGGAAAAATATCTGAAAATCATGTATCTGATAAGGGATTTAAAAAAAAAAAACCTAAAACTCAACAATAACAAAAACAGTATCACTTCATGACTACTAGGCTGGCTATAAAAAACTGAAGTAAAAACACAAAAAATAACAAGTCTTATTAGAGAGAATGTGGAAAACCTGGAATCTTTATGCATTGCTGGTAGGAATGTAAAATAGTTTTGCCAGTATGGAAAAGTTTGGCAGTTTCTCAAAAGGTTAAATATAGAACTGCTATATGATCCAGCAATTCCACTCCTAGGTATATATCTAAAAGAAATGAAAGCAGAGACTTGAACAGTTATTTGTACACCAATGTTCATAAGCAGTATAATTCACAATAGCCAGAAACTGGACCCAAATGTCCATCAATAAATGAATGGATAAACAAAATGTCACATACACATACAATGCAATATTATTCAGCCATAAAAAATGATACTTTGATATATGCTACAACATGGATTTTCCTTGAAAACATTATAATTAGTGAAGTAACCAAAGGACAAATATTGTATGATTCCATTTATATAAAGTACCTAGAATAGGCAAATATTATAACAATAAATTATGGAGTTAACATGTAGATATAAAATACATGACAGTAATAAGAGGTGGAAATAGAATTATATAATAGCACAGTTATTATGTTCACATGCTACATGGTACAGTATGAACTTAAGTAACTGTGATTAAGAATGCATGTTGTGTGCTCACTTTGGCAGCACATATACTAAAACTGGAAAGAATGCATGTTGTAATCTTTAGAGCAACTTCCTATAGGAAAACAAAAAAGGAGACAGACATAACTAAAAGGCCAGATGAGGAATCAAAACGGAATACTAAAAAACATTTGACGCAAAAGACAACCATGAAAAAGTTGCTGAGGAACAAAAACAGATGGAGCAAAAAGAAAACAAATAGCAAAAAAGTAAATATAAACCCAACCATATCAATAATTACAAGACATACAAATAGATTACACACTCCAGTTAAAAGGCAGAGATTGTTAGGCTGGATTGTTTAAAAAGCCAGACCCAACTATATATTATTATCTATAAGAAATGCACTTTATGGGGCGCCTGGGTGGCTCAGTCGTTAAGCGTCTGCCTTCGGCTCACGTCGTGATCCCAGGGTCCTGGGATCGAGCCCCGCATCAGGCTCCCTGCTCCACGGGAAGCCTGCTTCTCCCTCTCCTACTCCCCCTACTTGTGTTCCCTCTCTCGCTATGTCTCCCTCTGTCAAATAAATAAATAAAATCTTTAAAAAAAAAAATGTTAAAAAAAAAAAAGAAATGCACTTTAACTATAAAGGCACAAATACATTGAAAGTAAAAGGACAGAAAATAAGTAAAAGGACAGAAAAAAATATATCATGCAAATAATAATTGTATAAAAGCTGATGGGGAAATATTAGAAAAAGTAGACTTCAAGACCAGGAAGATTACCAGATATAAAGAAGACTATTTCATATTTTTTAAAAAGATTTATTTATTTATTTGAGAGAAAGAGAGAGAACGTGTGTGAGAGAGGAGTGAGGGGCAGAGTGAGAGGGAGAGACAGAATCTCAAGCCAACTCAGTGTGGAGGAGGAGGGGCTCGATCCCACGACTCTGAGATCATGACTGAGCTGAAATCAAGAGTCCAGCGCTCAACCAATTGAGCCACCCAGGCGCTCTGAGGAATATTTCATATTATAAAGGAGTAAATTTACTATTAATGTGTAAGCTCTTAATAGAACTACAATACATATAAAGCAAAAGCTAACAGAACTAAAAAGAGAAATAGACAAATCTACAATGGTAACTAGAGACTTTAAGACTCCTAATTAACTGACAGTACTAGTAAAAAAAAAAAATCAGTAAAGATATAGAATATCTGAATGACACCATAAATCACTTTGACCTAATTGATATTTATAGAGGACTATACTAACAACTGAAAGAGCACTATACCAACAACATTATTAGTCTTTGTCAGTGTGCAAGTTAACTAAGATAAGGCATGTACTAGGTCATAAGTCAATAAATTTCAAATGATGGCAACCTTAATGAATTATGTTCACTGACTACAAAAAAATTAAACTAGAAATAACATAGTATCCAGAGAAGCCCCAAATATTTAGAAATTAAAGAACATATGGTCAAAGAAGAAATCACAAGAGAAATTAGAAAATATTTAAAACTGAATTAGGAAAATAATAGTATAACAAAATTTGTAGGATATACCTATAGCAGTGCTTAGAAGAAAATTTATAGCTTTAAATGCTTATTTTAGAAAATAAGAAAGTTTTAAAGCCAATGAACAAAATTTTCACCTTAAGGTAGTAAAAGAAAAGCAAATTAAATTGAAAGCAGGGGTGCCTGGGTGGCTCAGTCGTTAAGCATCTGCCTTCAGCTCAGGTCATGATCCCAGGGTCCTGGGATGGAGCCCTGCCTCGGGCTCCCTGCTCCGCAGGAAGCCTGCTTCTCCCTCTCCCACTCCCCCTGCTTGTGTTCCCTCTCTCGCTGTGTCTCCCTCTGTCAAATAAATAAATAAAATCTTTAAAAAAAATAAAAATAAAAATAAATTGAAAGCAAAAAAAAGGAAATAATAAAAAGCAGTAATATTAACAAACAACAGAAAACAAACACTAGAAAAAATCCATTACTCTTATGTCCAATAAAGGATTCAGCCAAGTTATTATGGCACTGAGAATTCAATATGAATTTCGTAGAATGGACTAATGCTACCATAACATGGACTAATCAACACAGACTAATGCTTCTATAAGTTATTTGATGTTCAAAGTAATAACCCGTGTTTCAAAAGAATGTGCAAAAAAGGGGAGCCCAGGTGGCTCAGTCGGTTAAGCATGTGACTCTTGATTTCAGCTCAGGTCATGATCTCAGGCTGGTGAGACTGAGCCCTGCAATGGCTGAGCACAGAATCTGCTTGTCCCTCTTCCTCTGCTCCTCACTCCCCCTCACCCCCCTGCCACTCACCCTGAGCATGTGGACCCTCACTCACTTTCTCTCTCTCTAAAATAAATAAATAATCTCTCTCCAAAATAAAAAAACAATCCTAAAATAAATAAATAATCAAAAGAATGTGGATAAGAAACCCAGTTAGACATATTTTCTTAGGCCACTACTGACCCAAATATTGCAATGGATAAACTTCCCTGAAGACCTGCACCTTCATAAAAATTCCCAGCACCTTTTATATTTTAGGTAATGACTCAGGGCAAATTAAACCAATTCAAGTGTAACTAGAAAAGAATCAGAGTAGTTCTAGGAGGGGTGCCTGTGTGGCTCAGTTGGTTAAGTGTCTGCCTTTGGCTCAGGTCATGATCCCTGAGTCCTGGGATCTAGCCCAAGGGCTCCCTGCTCAGCGGGGAGTCTGCATCTCTCTCTGCCCCTCCCCCTTCTTGTGCTCACTCTCTCTCCCACTCTCTCTCAAATAAATAAAATATATATTTTTTAAAAAGTAGTTCTAGGGCGCCTGGGTGGCTCAGTCGGTTAAGCGACTGCCTTCAGCTCAGGTCATGATCCCAGGGTCCTGGGATCAAGTCCCACATCAGGCTCCCTGCTCTGCAGGGAGCCTGCTTCTCCCTCTCCCACTCCCCCTGCTTGTGTTCCCTCTCTCGCTGTGTCTGTCAAATAAATAAATAAAATCTTTTAAATAAATAAATAAATAAATAAATAAATAAAAATAAAAAAGTAGTTCTAGGAAAAGAACTAAGAAAACAAGTTCTAGGAAGAGAACTAGAGTATTCTTCAGAATTTTGTTCTATCGCATACATGTGATAAAAGAAATATTATTGATTATTAAGATTTATGATCTTGGGGTACCTGGCTGGCGTTGGTTAAGTGTCTGCCTTCAGCTCAGATCATAATCCCAGGGTCCTGGGATCAAGCCTCACATTGGGCTCCCTCCTCAGCAGGGGAGTCTGCTTCTCCCTCTCTCTCTGCCCCTCCCCCTGCTTGTACTTGCTCTCTCTCTCTCTCTCTAATAAACAAAATCTTTAAAAAAAAAGATTTATGGGGGCGCCTGGGTGGCTCAGTCGTTAAGCATCTGCCTTCGGCTCAGGTCATGATCCCAGGGTCCTGGGATCGACCCCTCCATCAGGCTCCCTGCTCCGTGGAAGCCTGCTTCTCCCTCTCCCACTCCCCCTGCTTGTGTTCCCTCTCTCGCTGTGTCTCTCTCTGTCAAATAAATAAAATCTTAAAAAAAAAAAAAAGATTTATGATCTAAAAACTGTGGTTAAGACTACTAGTGGTCTCATAATTCCCATTAATTCCTTCTTCCTCAGTAAACTCTCAAATGTTAGTTGAGTATACCTGACCAAATAAAAATTAGCTTTCTTAGCCTCCCTGCCGCTAGTTGTAATCTGCAGCCATGTCTTACCAGGGGGATGAAAGTAGATGCAGTGTGTACTTCTTCTAGGAAGTAGCCTTAAAAACAGGAAATTTTCAAAAAAAAAAAAAAACAGGAAACTTTCCTTCTTATTCTTCTATCTTGTTTGCTAGAATATTGTTGTGATGGCTGATATTGGAGTAAGCCAACTTCTACAGATAGCAAAGCATCAAAAAAGAACCCTAAGCCCTAATGACTGTGTAGTTGACACAATATCCCTGGTACTGCGCCTATACATGAAAGAAAAATTTCTATCTGAAGCCTCTGCTATTGTTATTTTTTGTCATTTGCAGTCAAACCTTATCCTAGTTAATACTAACTGAAAAAAATTATACCTTAGCCAATAAAAAAGTGATTTATGAATGGGAGAAGAATTTGTATCATCACAGTCTCAAAAAGGTTGTTCAAGATATTAAGACAGTTAAGGACTGTCAGGTGAATTATAGAAAATCTGATGTAACTGTAGCATTGCATACTTACTGGCCTAAACAACAAATATTTACTAACCTGGGATGTTCTGGTATATTCCTCATATAGCCTGTCATACTCTTTACTCTTTTCCTGATACTGAGAGTGGTACTCTTGCAATTTTTTACCAACTGCATCAATGTTGTCTTCTTTTACCAACTGATCCTGTACAGTTAAACAAAAGAAATAAAGAATGTTAACAATTCTGACACATGAATTTTTCCACATCTATTTATTTTTAAATTGCATTTCTACTGTAAGTTTAAGCCACTGTATTAATAGTAAGCATGCAAAAGCACTAAATCCTTTTGTTAACACTCACCCTTTAGATCACATCAAAATAATTAATACTTGAAAAATTAAGAAATGAAGTATAAATAGGAAACAGAAACAGAAGTATTTTTATATAAAGTTAATAAGTACATGCAACAAGCTGTTAAGGACTAGTAGTCACAAAATAAGCTCCAAAAATATCTTAAATCTTAAGTAGGAAATTTAAAATGACTAGATTTTTTTTTTAACTGATAAGCCTGGTAAATTAAAATGAAACGATGTTAAAAATGACTTGTTGAATAGCTATCAAGAACTTCTATAGGGGCATGAGGGTGGCTCAGTTGGTTAAGCATCTGACTTTGGCTCAGGTCATGATCTTGGGGTCCTGGGATTGAACCCCACATCAGGCTCCCTGCTCAGTGGGGAGTCTGCTTCTCCCTCTCCCTCTGCTCCACCCCCCCTGCTAATTCTCTCTCTCTAATAAATAAATAAATAATCTTAAAAAAAAAAAGAAACTTCTATAATCATACCTGTTGGTATCTGGACACTGGGTACATTAGCTTCACATCAAGTTTGGGATTGTACTGAGCAAGAGATTCATGATGATAGTGGTTAATGAGCTCCACCACAGAATTAAATGTCAGAGGATCAGAAAAGCCGTATTTACCATCTCGATGATAGATCTTTATTAACTTATTATTGCCTCCCTTCCTGTGAACAAGACAGCAGCTGTAGATTTTCTTCCCCCAAATTCTATCAAAGTACTACTTTCATATGGAGATAAAAAAGTATAGTGTCTCGTAATAAGTTTTACTAGGTTAATCAGATTGGAACAGGTGAAAAGGCATATATAATTATGTAAAAGTATATACAATATCTTATTATTTTTACAACTATTTCATTTGTCTATAAAATATCTTGGTTACTAAAGGCAAATATACCTAACCAGCAGTCAGTATCAACAAATTTAACAAAAATAGTCACTTAAGAAAAATAACTAAAACAGAAGTAAATTATATCTTTTGTTTATTTTCTGAATGAATTTTCTAATTTAAATTCTATTTATATTTTTTCAGGAAGAAGAGAGACAATCTCTTTGGGACCTAAAGATACAAGGTTGTGTGTCTGTGAGGAGAAGCAGACCATCTCTGTATGAAGGGGGATGATAAACATGTGTCACACATAATCACCAACACCCTCAAGGTTTTATTGTGAATGCATAAACATGAATGATTTATGACTGAGTAATTAATCTAGCACCTTACATTATTTTGTCTTTTATATTTGCTTATAATTCTGGAAATGACTATTTATTTAGACCATCACAATAAGTAAATGAGTCAACTGTCATTCAACTGTTTTATAAAGCATAGCTTTTGAAGAGCCATTTATATTAGAATGAGGTAATTTGATGCTTAAATAGTTTAGACCACTTTTGTTTACTGAGTCATATACAATGGTCCCTTAAAGATAATTTATACCCAAAGCTTAAAATGGCAGTGTTTTCCAAGTCCCACATAGTATAATCAAACCACAGCAGGTTGATTCATTCTATCATAGCAAAACACTGCAGCATTCCCATTCAACTCTTCTTATAACAGCATGCAGACTTAATGGGGGGAAAAGTACATCTCCACATCTCTTTATGCCATGCTATTTACACATGATAAATGAGGCATCGGGATTTGTGAAAGGTCAAACACAATAGCTTTGTATATATGGAATGATTTAATAATGCTTATAGAAAGTCAGTATTTAGATGAATGAAGAACTATTCCTATAAAATGTACATTAGAAGAACCACCTAATCACATGTAGTTACTATAGGTAGGTACACCCATACATACACTCACAATAAATGCAAGCTGATCTCTCTGCTACAGAAAAGTTAAAAGGCACTCATTCATTCAAAAAAACTTTATTTGGGGTGCCTAGGCAGCTCAGTTGGTAAAGCATCTGACTTGATTTCAGCTCAGGTCATGATCTCAGGGTGGTGAGACTGAGCCCCGCATCCGGCTCCACGCTGAGCATGGAGCCTGGTTAAGATTCTCTCTCCCTCTCCCTCTGCCCCTCCCCACTCTAAAACAAAACAAAACCCAAAAAACTTTATTTTGAATATCTACTATGTGCCAGGAACTGTATGAGGTACGGTGCACATAGGAATGAACAAGCCAGACTTAGTTTATGATAAAACATAACAACAAACAACTAGATATATCAAATGGTAATAGGTCCTATGGAAAAAAATAAAGCAGAGTAAAGGAAAGAGATAGTTCTGGGGGTATAGGGTTTGCTATTTTACATGTTGCACAAGGAAAACCACTCTATTCAGGTGACATTTAAGCAGTCTTAAATGAAGTGAGGGAACTAGCACAGCAGATACCTAGGGGGAAAGGTTTTCAGGCAGAGGAACAGCAAGAACAAAGCCCCTGAAGTAAAAGCATGGTTGGCATGTTCAAAGAACAGCAAGAAGGCCAGTGATGCTGGGGCTGAATGAGCCAAAGGGAGAATACTAGTAGGAGAGAAGAGCTGTAAAAGGAGCTCAGATCATGTAACAGTCTGTAAGCTTTGGCTTTTACTGAGTAAGATGGGGAGACACAGGAGGATTCTGAGCAGAATAATATCATCTATCATGTATTTTAAAAGGCTCACTCTAACTGCTGGGTTAAGAAGAAACCGGTCAAAGTGAGCAGGGGTAGAAGTAGAAAAATCAGCTGGGAGACTATTTAAATAATCTAGGCAAGAGATGATGGCATCCTGAACAAGGATAGTAGCAGAGGAGGTAGTGAGAAATGGTGGGATTCTGAATATATTCTGAAGAGAGAGCTGACAAGACATGCCGATGACATGGACATGGACATGGATGGGTATAAGAGAAAGGCAACATAAAGATGATTTCAAGTTTTTTACTTTAAGCAATTAGAAGAATGGGATTTTTATTGAAATGAAGAAGGCTATATAAAAAGAACATGTTTAAAGGGGGAAAATATTTTGTTTTTAGACATGTTAAGTCTGAGATGCCTAGTGAACATCTGAGAGTAGATGATCCAGCAGTCTACTTGAAGAATCTAAAGTTCAGGAGCTGTCAGCCTATAGATATTACTTGAAATGAGCATAGCTGAAAAAAGAAGAGGTCCAAGGTCTAAGTCCTGGGGTTCACCAATGTTTAGCAGTTAGGAAAATGAGGAAGAACCAGCAAAGGAAACCAAGAGAGAGCAATTAATAAAGTTAAAAGAGAACTAAGAGCATGGTATATTTTTTTTTTTTAAAGATTTTATTTATTTGACAGAGAGAGAGGCAGTGAGAGCGGGAACACAAGCAGGAGGAGTGGGAAAGGGAGAAGCAGGCTTCCCTGCTGAGCAAGAAAGCTGATGTGGGGCTTGATCCCAGGACCCTGGATCATGACCTGAGCCGAAGGCCGACACTTAATGACTGAGCCACCCAGGTGCCCCAAGCATGGTGTATTTTTAAGAAAGCAATGATCAACCAGATAAATGATCTCGGGGCTTGGTGAAGTACAGATCACTAAGTGATCGTGACAAAATAGTTTCAATGGACTGTAATGGATTAGAGAATGAAAGAAGACAAAAAAGAAATGCCTACAACAACTGTCTTGAGGAGTATTGCTGTAAATAGGGAGCAGAGAAATAGGGAAGTAGCTGGAAAGAGATATAGGCTCAAGGGAATTTTCTTTCTTTCTTATTTTTTTTTTTAAGATTTCATTTATTTATTTGACAGAGCAAGAGCACAAGCAGGGGGAGTGGGAGAGGGAGAAGCAGACTCCCCACTGAGCAGGGAGCCCGACACGGGGCTCCATCCCAGGACCCTGGGATCATGACCTGAACTGAAGGCAGACGCTTAACCGAGTGAGCCGCCCAGGCGCCCCTCTTTATTATTCTTAAATGGGAGATAGTATCACATATTTATACGCTGACAAGAATGGCTCAGTAGAGAGACAAAAACTACTGATCGCCAAAGAAAAAGGACAATTACTAGGGTTATGTCCTTGAACAGAATAGAGGGATGGGATTTAGCCCACAAGTAATGATGTGGATCCTAGACAAAAACTTGAACAGTCTATCCACTGGAACAGGAGAAAGAGGGTATTCACATTCAGGTGTATATATGTTGACAGCTGTGGCAACAGGACCATGAGGGAGTTAGATATCTTCTGACTACCTCAAAGTTACCAGTGAAACAGGAAGCAATTTCTTTTTTTTTTTTAAGATTTTATTTATTTATTTGAGAGAGAGAGAGCACAGAGGGAGAGGGAGAGGGAGAAGCAGACTCCCTGCTGAGCAGAGAGCCCGATGCGGGGCTCGAGCCCAGGACCCTGAGATCATGACCTGAGCCGAAGGCAGATGCTTAACTGAGCCACCTAGGCGCCCCAGGAAGCAATTTCTTTAGTTAGAAGGGGGGAGATGAGTTGCTGATTTGAAGGGAAAAAAAAAAAAAGAACACATGAAATTGTCATCTTGGAAAGTGGGAGAGCAAGCCAATTGCAGAAATGCAGAAATTTAGCTGAACTATACTAAAGGCCCACTTAAGATCAGTAGTCACCAGTGAGCTCAGTGTATTCTTCTCCACATTTAGCTACCCAGGTACAGGCAAGAAACAGATACAGAATTTAATTTAACAAGTGTTGGAATAGAGTTGGATGACTACAGTGTAGGAAAAGAGGAACAAGTTTACTGAGGATATATTCACAAGACTAATTTTAATAATAGATCATGGACTCTAAGCAGAGAAGGAGGGAAGTGAAGACATGAAAGAACTAAAAAATGGTGAATTTTTTAAAGATTTATTTTATTTTATTTATTTGAGAGAGAATGAGAGAGAAAGAGCACCAGTGAGGTGAGGGGCAGAGGAGAAGCAAACTCCCCGCCGATCAGGGAGCCTTGATGCAGGGCTCAATCCTGGGACTCCCAGGACTCCAGGATCATGACCTGAGCTGAAGGCAGACACTTAACTGACTGAGCCACCCAGGTGCCCCAAGAATGGTGAATTTTCAATTATATGTCTCTCTCCCTCACTGTACTCTTCTTAAACAGAAGAATCATGCTATTCCTTCTCATATCCTATAACCTGGCCTAATGCCTGGCATATAGCAGATTCCTAAAGATTTAATTATCCAGGGGCACCTGGGTGGCACAGTTGGTTAAGCACCTGACTCTTGGTTCGGCTCAGGTTGTGATCTCAGGGTTGTGAGATCAAGCCCACATTGGGCTCCATACTCAGCACAGAGTCTGCTTATGACTCTCTCTGCCCCTAACCCCTGCTCTCTCTCTCTCTCTCTCAAATAAATAGATCTTTAAAAAAAAAAGATTTAAATGTGCAGATTTTCTACAATGAATACTATTTTTAAAAGTGGTTACTGGGGGCGCCTGGGTGGCTCAGTAGATTGAGCATCCAACTCTTGGTTTCAGCTCAGGTCATGATCTTGGGTCATGGAGTCAAGTCCCACATCAGGTTCTGAGCTCAGCACAGAGTCTGCTTGTCCCTCTCCTTCTGCTCCTCCTCTGACTCACACGTGTGCCCTCTCTCTCAAATAAATAAAATCTTAAAAAAAAACAAAAAACGGTTACTGAATTGGAAAACTTCTATTTCCTTATCACCTACCCTTCACAGTCTGATTTAACTCTCATTCCTCTCATTTGAGGGTCACCAACTTTTTTTTTTTGAGAGAGAGAGCGAGTGTGGGAGGGGGGATG